AGTCTGTGTTTGTAAGCATGGAAATATGGCTCCCACGTGGCAGCTTGGGGACCTAATATAGCCCCACCAGACTATGTGATTTGGGAAACACGGTTGGCGCAGCGGCTGCGGCCGCAAGATGAGCCCCCCCAAGGCTGCCAGCCCGAGGACCGCCGCCGTCGGATCATCATCAACGTGGGCGGCATCAAGTACTCACTGCCCTGGACCACGCTGGACGAGTTCCCGCTGACGCGCCTGGGCCAGCTCAAGGCCTGCACCAACTTCGACGACATCCTCAACGTGTGCGATGACTACGACGTCACCTGCAACGAGTTCTTCTTCGACCGCAACCCGGGGGCCTTCGGCACCATCCTGACCTTCCTGCGCGCGGGCAAGCTGCGGCTGCTGCGCGAGATGTGCGCGCTGTCCTTCCAGGAGGAGCTGCTGTACTGGGGCATCGCGGAGGACCACCTGGACGGCTGCTGCAAGCGCCGCTACCTGCAGAAGATCGAGGAGTTCGCGGAGATGGTGGAGCGGGAGGAAGAGGACGATGTGCTGGACAGCGAGGGCCGCGACAGCGAGGGTCCGGTCGAGGGCGAGGGCCGCCTGGGGCGCTGCATGCGGCGACTGCGCGACATGGTGGAGAGGCCGCACTCGGGGCTGCCCGGCAAGGTGTTCGCCTGCCTGTCGGTGCTCTTCGTGACCGTCACCGCCGTCAACCTCTCCGTCAGCACCTTGCCCAGCCTGAGGGAGGAGGAGGAGCAGGTAAGAGCCCACGCCCCGCGGGGAGATGCGCCACCATGAGGGAAGGGACGCTGAGCATTGTCACCTCTTCCAGGAAGCCTCCCCTGATTGCACACTGGCTGAATAGTATCCCTGGTCCCTCCTGACATCAGGAATGTTTGTGTGCATGGTCTGCCTCCCTGTTAATATGTGAGCGCGTGGGGGTCCATTCCTGTGCCTGTCCTGGCCTCCACTGTGCCTGCCACTGAACTCTCCCTTGCCAGTATCTAGAACCGTGTCCAGCACAAACAGGCACTCAACCACTATCTGTTGAACGAACAAATGAGTGGATAAATGGATGGCATGATTTTTGACGTGCCTGGCCCTGAGCGAAGCATATTACATAGATCATCAAATTTATCTCAACTACTTGGCTCTTTCTCAACCTTCCTAATCCTTTGCATCATAGTAGCCCAGACACATTTTCTGGGTCCTGAAGATAATTTTTACTGATGGGTACATGTGTGTCTACAAATGGTGAGCATTTCTTTTTGTTACATAAGAGAATGAATGGAAAGTTTATTTACTCTAGCGCCTGACACGGGGTGTGTGCTACGGTCTAAGGGCTCCCACTCATCTGGGAGTTCACCGGAGCCGGGAGCTGGGCTGCATGTGCCACCTACGTCTTATCTCCCCAGGGAATGATAAGAGCCCTGGGAAGCTCCCTGGAGCAACCCTGGGGGGGAAGTGTTTTCACACCCACTCGGTATTTGAGGACACTGCCCAACCCCAGGTCTAAGTCCAGTCTGTGTTTGTAAGCATGGAAATATGGCTCCCACGTGGCAGCTTGGGGACCTAATATAGCCCCACCGGACTATGTGATTTGGGAGACACGGTTTCCCAAAAGTTTGACTTGGTTGCCAACATTAAAAGTGATGGTTTTTCACATAAAAATTCAAAATCTCAGCTTCTTTTAAAAATCATAAGATCAGGCCAGGTATGGTGGCTCATGCCTATAATCCCAACACTTTGGGAGCTGGAGGCAGAAGGATCGCTTGAGCCCAGGAGTTCAAAATCATGCTGGGCAATGTAGTGAGACCCTGTCTCTACAAAACAAACAAACAAAACCAAAAAAATTTTTTTTAATTAGCCAGGTGTGGTGGCTTGTACCTGTAGTCCCAGCTACTTGGGAGGCTGAGGCAGGAGGATTGCTTGAGCCTTGGAGGTGAGGC